TTTTGTTATGTAACCATGAATAATGCTTCTCTAAGTTGTTATCAAAATTACAAAACCAGCTGCTCCAGCTTGGATGAAAAAAATACATTATTCCCAAAAAAAAATCCAAAATAAAATTTTTGCCTAGTTTAAACTGACTGTACTGAAAAAAAATTGTACTACGCGAGTGTGGCAAGTGACGTCATAATTTGGCGCATTTAGTAAGAATTCCAAAATGGTATAATACTTGGTAAATTCTTGCTGTAATTGTCGACAATTTTTGTTTTTTTGGAAATAATCCCGTTTTTAACTTTATGTACCTTGGTTAAAAATCATTATTCTAATGTGCCCAAAATTCAAGTTTCTGGCTTAAATGAGGTGGAGAAGCCATTTTAAAAGGTATGAGCGGGACGGAGAGGGCCATCTTACCAAGCAGGGATGTTATGGATATCCGTAACCGTAACCGAAACTGATTCAAAAGTTACGGATAGTTTCGAAAAAAGGCGGAGTCTAAGGGTACAATTATTCCAAACTGCAAAACTCTATGAAATCTGCAGTATACACGCCGCAGCTGCAATGCCGCGCTGCCGATTTCATAGATTTTTGCAGTTTGCGATCTGCGGCCCGTCTTGGAATTGTACCTTAAATCTTAATATTTGTTACCAACTTGTCTGGCATTCCCTGGCACCATCTAATATGCCAGCCTGTTTTACCTTTATCATACATAGGTGTCGTCTTAGTTGGTACATAAAGTAGCTATGTGGGTCACGCAGCATCTTGCTATTTGAATTATACCTACATTTTTGAAATTCTAATAATTCCGTAACCGAAATCATCCGAAACTTTCGGATAATCTGATATGATTTCATATCCGTGACCGTAACCGAAACCGGTATAATAATTATTATTCTATTCTAATATCCATAACCGTATCCATAACCGAAACTTCATATCCTTATTATCCCTGTTACCAAGTACAAGTGCAGGCAGAGCAGGTAGTAACGGCGCATGGTAGATAAAGTTAAAAACGGGATTATTTCCAAAAAACCAAAAATTGTCGACAATTACAGCAAGAATTTACCAAGTGTTATACCATTTTAGAATCCTTACTAAATGCGCCAAATTATGACGTACCTACCATGCCACACTTGCGTAGTACATTTTTTTTTCAGTACAGTCAGTTTAAACTAGGCAAAATTTTTATTGGGAATAATGTATTTTTTTTATCCAAGCTGGAGCAGCTTGTAATTTTGATAAAAATTTAGAGAAACATTATTCAGGGTTACATAACAATAAAAAAATTTGGAAAAAGTGAAGATTTGTGGCAACACGAGTAAAAAGACCGTCACCTGGAGTAGATATTTTTGATCTTTTTTAAATGCCCATTATTTTGAAAATATGCCACATAGATTTTTTTTATATTTTTCTGATAACCATCATAACTTGCCTCAACACCCAGTTCCGGCTTGACGTTGCATTACGGGACACCCTGTATAAAAGAAAGTCGTGTTAGTTACTCCACTTATAACTCAAGAACGGCTGAACCGATTTAGCTGAAAATTGTCAGGGAGGTAGTTTAGAGCCAGGAGAAGGACATAATCCAATTAAAACATAGTTGTGTTGCGAATTTTTTGGATAATTTGAGAATCCGAACAGTTTTACGCTGACTGTGAAAAGTAGTAAAAATATTAATGCTTTAATTATTTTAAAAATCCTTACTATGAATTATTTTTAGTAATTTATTGAATAAAAAGGAAACGAGATTACGACTGCTGCTAAAGGTTTTAAAATAATAAAAACGTGTGACGATTACCTTCAAATTCTTCAGTTCCTTGTATAAAGTGACATTCCCTTCATATACGGCACTATCGGCGTCGTTAGACTTAATTTTCCAGAAGTAAGTTTTCCCCGACGGGACCTTTTCATAGGGATGTGAAGTGACATTACATCGATTCACGATGTCCAGCAAAACTAGTTTGTAGGGGCCCTGGAAAATTAATCATCATTATCATTTCAGCCATAGGACGTCCACTGCTAAACATAGGCCTCCCCCAATGATTTCCGTGATTAGTAGCGGCCTACATCCAGCGCCTTCCTGCTACCTTTATGAGGTGGGTGGATGTCTTCAAACTTTCCGCAAAAGTATTGTTCACGTTTAATTTTTACTTGATAAAGTTATGAGTCATTTATTTTTTGCAATATTTTTTATCTTGGATGAAAATCCTACACTACACTTCCGTGATCTAAAGTGGCCTAACAAAAATTAAAATTAAGAATTAAAAAATAAAAATCGAAGCGGAATTATAATAAAAAAACATTGTTACAAAAAACAACAGATTATAGAAAAGAGATATTGTCAAAAACTTGATTACGCACTGACTCTACAACTGCTGATATTGTCGGTGCAAAAATGATAAACGATACAAAACGGTGAAAAAACATATTGAAGTACCGAAACACTGCTGAAATTGAGCTATTTGAAACAGATTTTCAACGAGCAATGTATGAAGTAAATAGACAATGTTTATATTATCAGATAAATGATTTTTAATGGCTCTATCATTATGCGTGCGGAATAGAAAAATTTGTCTAAAGTATGATTAATGATTATGCTATTCAATCTATATCTATATAATTTAAAAGGTATTAGGCATAATACGGCTGCGTACCGGAAAACGCAACGAGCACTGAAAAAAATTTTTAGTTACTGCTTACACAACAAAAGTGACCATCGAACGGTTATGAAATACGACATCATAAAGGTAGCAGGGAAGAGCTGGACGCAGGCCGCTACCAATCGATCAACATGTAAAACATTGGGGGAGGGCTATGTTCAGCAGTGGACGTCCTGTGGCTGAAATGATGATGATGATAATGAGGCGTAATACTAATACCCAAATATCTACCCACACATTTTTTACTTATTATAGAAACTTTTGACTTGCACCTTAATAATAATTAAGACCTTTCGTATTCGAATAGTGAACATTTTCAAATAAGCACTATTTTTGTTTGCATTTTGTTAATTGCTGTCTGGACCGCATAAATTATAATGATCTAAATAATGAAACTAAACACTTTCAACATTTTGTAAATTAAGCCCAGTGAATTATATTTATGTAATTAAAATAAATGTAATGTCAAAAGTTTATTTGCAAGTAATGTGGGATAAAATAATTACAAAACAAATAATGATTTTGTGCTTAATTATTAAAGTTTGTATTTAATTGTATTTCATTATTATTCGGTATTATTTTTCTAAAGGTTGTCTGAAGAGCGAAAAGTAATACAGTGGTTAAAAACATGCACTCCTTGGACACAGAGCTGCGAGATTCGATTCTCAGATGGGACACAAAACACGCTTTTAATATTTTGTTAATTTACTCCAATTTTGTAAGACAAGAACCAAATAATTTGTTTGCATCAACAAGATTGTCAGAGGTTGGTCGTAGTAGTTCTTTTTCAACTTATTTTTTTACCCAAAATGGAGAAGCCCTTCTAATTAAAAATGATGATCAGCTTGAACTTGGAAGCAAACTCAAACAGAGATCGCAAAACATAAAAAAGGTTACTGAGTTTCTTCCGCCACTTCTTCTCAGCATGTTGTTCTGAAATGGTGGTAGAGCAAGCTATAATAATGGGGATGTTGCCTGGGTCAAAAAGCAAGAGTTTTAATTAGTCCGTCAGTTAACTTATAAAAAAATACTCTACACGTATTTTTCACTTTTTCAAACTAATGAAAATTTAAATAGATAAAGCGCCCCAAAGTTCATAAGAAGAGGCCCGTGACGTCAACGCTTGCTTAAAAATGCCGCACGTTGTGACGTCGTGCGCGTAATTATTTGTTAGATTGACAAATAAAAATATAGGGGAGAGTTCGGTATATTGTACCGCCGGGTAAATTGTACCACCCTCATATTTCGTAAAGTATTTATTGAATGTCTGTAATTGCAACACTCAGCGATACACAACTAAAATCAATTAATATCGGCCATGTGGTTTTTGAAGTGACAACAAACACGTGTGTTTTATTTTGAAAAGTATTTTTTCATTGTTTTCAAGTAACTTTTGACAATACATGATTAGTTTGTAATTTTGTTAAATTTAATCACAAGGTGTTTCTAATATATTATTTAGAAGCGTTAATTAGTGTGGATTACAATTATTTGAAACATTTTTCGGTATTTATAAGCTATATTTTATACCGATTTTTTAAAAGCACTATCACCTAGTCGGCTAAAGTGTACCACGTCAAGTTGTATAGAACTTTACCAAAGAATTTTGAATTTTTTTTTAGTAAATCATATTTTGAAGTATAACTGCATAGTTATGTTTGAATAACAATAAATGAAAGCAAAAGACTGGCAAAGTAGATTAGGTACAAGTGTGCGTTACGATAATTGGAATTACAAAACTTGTACTCAAAATCGTGATAACGTGAAAAACAATATCGATTTTCTATGTTATTAACTACTGTTCCTTTTCGTTTCCTAATTTGTTAAGAATGTATCGTATAATATTTTGCCATAGTTTTTTTATAGGATTGAAATTTATTGAAATCCAATTTAGTAACCCTGTGGTACAAATTATCGAACCGGTTGGCTAAATTGGACCGAAGCTCTGAACTCGTACTTTGTTGATTTGTACTAAATATACAACAATCATGTTAATTAATACTTATGAAATAGTAAGTTGAACAATGTATCTTTTATTATGTACCATAGACATTAGCAAAAACAAAAGAAAACTAGGTGTAAAATGGGATTGAAAAAAACTGGTCCAAATTAGCGGACTCTCCCTTAATATGTGTCCAATATTTTTTGATATTAAACATTACGGACTAAAAAAAATTTTTTAGGCAACTAGCCTATTGGGACATGTATAAGCGCCATGAATATAGCGTAGTGATTTGAAACACACATCCTCCACCATAGAAAAAAACTCCAAGTATGTATTAGACCAAGTAAGAACTCATTACTCCATATTTTTTCATTAAAATTAACCATACTCTTTGTCCCCAGGGTGCACAGACAACGCGAATGGCCTCGGCACAGACGGAGTCCCAGAGCTGGACTACACAGACATGGATTTGGGACTGGCCCACCGGGGGCCTCATTTCGACCTGGCGTATTCCAAAAATGTGACGGCCTTGGTCGGGAAGACGGCGCAGCTCAACTGTAGAGTGCATGACTTGGGGAATAGAACAGTAAGCAGTTCATACCTATAGTAGAATATAGGACTTCGGCACAGATGGAGTCCCAGGTCATATCTTCTTCTTAGAGCCAAAGCAAACGATACGTTGCGGCGGCGGTGCGACGCCGGGGCGTTGTCGCTGCTTCGTCCATAGAATAAATTTCGCGAGACGGCGAAATCTTTGTGGTGTGGCAACGCATCGTGTGCCTTGGCTTTTAGGCTGAGTTGACACCTAACTTTTACCGTAACTATAACGATAACCGGTGCTTTTTGTATGGAGTTTGATAGACTTAAGTTAATTAAGATGGTGCAACTCAGTCATAGTGTCTTATCTGCTATGACTACAGTAATGCTGAAGTTGGTATTTTTTTTTAAGATGGCCGGTTCTTATTCTGTGGGCTACATTTCATGCCCAGAATTAAAATACAAGGAGGCTTTAAGTAAATCTAATCTTAAACTTCATTATAATCCTCTCTAGGGCTCGAACTAAGAGACTTCAAGGGCTATTTAAATAATAGCTTCATTAATATTTATTACAATGATTCTAAAGTCTAAACTAATTACCTTAAAATTAAGAGAACGTAACAAAGACATTATCTTCAAAGATTATTGTGTACTGCTTAGGCCGTTTTGAGTGGTGGGAGCCTGATGTTCTGTAACACAGGTATTTCATACCTAGCTCAGGCATCAGTCTCACAAAAACTTGTGACTGAAATTTAATGTAATATACCTGTACTCTGTGTTATAAGTTTGTGATGGGAAAATAAACTTTTTATTATTATTAAGAGTTCCTCTAGCCTCATAGAAAATGATAGTATCGCTGATAGTAAATATAGTAAATTATTCTCCGAATTAACGAAAGGTCCCGAATCCAGTTGCGTAACACTTAAATCTACCATTATCGCATACGAATTTCGAGCGACAATGAAAATAAGCCCCTTCGCGTGCGGGCTTACAGGGGATGAATTTATTTTGAAAACCCCTAATCCCTTATCCAAATGTAAATGGTTTCGGCTTAATATTTTCCACTTTAGCCAATATAGTGGATCAGACCGTGGTCGGACCCCGAGTCAGACTTAATTAGATTTGGTAGGAACTTTAGCTTTTAGTTGATATTAAGTTCTGATTACATGCGAAGTGACGTGCAAATACGGTTGGTCGAAAAGTTAAAGCTTTGGATTAGTGATGGTTAGTGAAAGCTAAAACAAAACTATCTACTTAACTATACATCGCACACCTAGGTAAAGGGTGGCACAACTCAAAATAATTCAAAATTAAGTTAATGCTATTATCAGAATCTGCGTCAAACGTAGTATTACATGCGAAGTGACGTGCAAATACGGTTGGTCGAAAAGTTTCAGATTTGGATTAGTGATGGTTTGTGAAAGCTAAACTATCTACTTAACTGTATCGCACACCTAGGTAAAGGGTGTACAACTCAAAATAATTCAAAATCGAGTTTGTTGGTTTGGTGGAAGCGAGCTTCACCCGGAATCCTCAACCACGGAGGAACTGGCTATCTTACCTCTAACTGCAGGAACACAACAATGCTGTTAACATTGTTGTTATGGCGACAGACTTAGGTAAGATGGTGGTAGCTAGCCAGGCGGACTTAGAACATTTATTATTATTTATTATTAGAGCAATTGCGATTACTGTATTCTGCATTTCAAATTATTTTTAACATGATGATCCTTTTCAATGTGTCAAGAATCAAATAATGCTATAGTTTTTTTTGTATAATTAAACTCTTTACTGACAATATTTAATTTTTTACTAATTTATACTTAGACATTTAGGGTATGCACATGAATCACAGTAGGTACATAAGGCGAACGTAGTGCCATTCGGAATTCTCCTCCAGTTAGCCTTAGCGTTCATTTAATTTGCGTGAGAAGCAAGCGAGTCAATATTTTACTCATAACATGTTTTAAATTATATTCTAGTACCTACTCGTACATAGTGTACGCCCACAAGCAATTTTAGCTTTATGAAAAATGAAATTACGAAAGTACCTACTCATAACTTTATGAACATTTTTCTCATACACATGTGATAAACTAGCAAAGTTCTTTGCTCACGTTTTATTATACTTACCTTTGACATTAAGGTCGATATTTCGTTGAAATTACTTAATTTTGACATAGGAAAAAGTTGAACCGTTTTGTCCGTCTAGACGTAACAAATTTTGATCTTAAAATCAAAACTGTTCTTGAAAGTTTTTACTATTATAGTAAATAATGAAATTCAGTTTTCTTTGTTAACTATTATTATCCAAGTAGCTGTCTGGTGAAGAGTGTAAGCCAAAACCTCAATTTGCTTCTGGTCAATTAGAGAGGTCGTGCTCCTGCAAAGTGGAGTAAAAACTGATGATGATAATGATGATCCAGGTAGCCTATGTTTTTTTTTATCTAAGGTCCAATCCAAAAATTTATAGTAAGACTTTTCTTTTTATACCTCTCTTACTTTTTAATAAACTCATAAAGAATTATCACAACTGTATCCGCCTGGATATTGCAAAGATAAAACATTTAATATCTCCACTCCAGAATAAATGTACGTAATAAACGCATGTACAGTTAAAATTTATCTCGAATTCTCGACCCTTTGCGTTTGCTATGCCCAAGGGCATCATAGGTCATCATAATGTAGCTCGAGGGCTTTACGGGTTTGACCATAAATCGTGGATAGTACGCGTTTTCATGCACTTCTTTTGTTTTTTTCCATAGCTTTTCATTTTTGTGCGAAAATAAGTTATGCCAATGTTGACAGCTAAGGTCACGTTCTTGTACAAAGGCACGTGCAGCTTGTTACGTATTTTATTTACCTTAGCGAATGACATAATTATTCTGCTAAAACCAACAAACATTATTTAAATATCTCTGAGACTGCCTAAGCTGTACCTACCGTTTCAATTTGGTGTTTTTCTTTTAGTATATCTGTTTTGTTTGATGTACAATAAAGTATACCTTTAATAAATTGAAGAGAATTTGATCCTGAACTTCAAAATCTACCTGTTTTCCAATCAGTTACAATTTTCTCCGAGATAGGTAAACTAAGATTTCATTGGTGTTCAAGCTATAGTCCTGACCATAGGAATAGGCTAGTTTCCTAAAAAAAATTTTTAGTCCGTCAATTTTAATAAAAAAAAAATTGGACACGTATATTTTTAATTGTCAATCAAACAAATAATGACAAAGTTATAGTGCGTTGAAGTTCCGCGCGACGTCACCAAGTGCAGCATTTTTACGTACTCACTGACGTCACGGGCCTTTTCTTTAGAACTTTGGCAAGCTTTATCTCTTTACATTTTCATTAGTTTTAAAAAGTGAAAAATAAGTGTCGAGTATTTTTTGATAAGCTAACTGACGGACTAATTAAAACTCTTGCTTTTTTACCCAGGAAACGTCCCTATTACAGCGGTAGGAATCAGTCAATCAACTTATACACTTTTGGCACTTAATATTATCTTACTGATACACATTTGGAACAAGCCTAAACGTGTGTATAATTTGAATAATGAATCTTGTTGTATACTAAATTTCAGGTCGTTATTTTGCGCCACGTAACAGCTGACATCTTTAAGCTATGCGAACACACATATTGTGTGTCGATTTAAACGTTCTCAATATTTACGAACGTGCTCAACAATATGTAGAGCATTAAGATATTTATGTCGTCGTAATAAAAACGAGGACAACATCAATATACGAAATAATAATGGTCCTTACATGTAATGGTGGAACGATAATTTATTTCAAATTGATTTTATGCAGTACTAAGTAGCTGTGCCCGAGACTTCGTACGCGTGAAAACCCGTTTTCGCAACAATTTTCATTATTGCTCTGCTCCTATTGATCGTAGCGTGATGTTGTATAGCCTATAGCCTTCCTCGATAAATGGGCTATCTAACACTGAATGAATTTTTCAAATCGGACCAGTAGTTCCGGAGATTAGCGCGTTCAAGTAAACAAACAAACTCTTCAGCTTCATAATATTAGTATAGATTATAATAGATTTTGAGGACCATCACTCTCTATGAGTATTTTTGTCAAAGCCCTGATAATAGTCTATAGTATTTTAAACTTTCAAGTTGCATTTTTAACTATAAATTTTATCACTCAAAATGTCGGGAGGGTAAAACCTTTTTACTTACTTTATAATTAAATAGTACTTTACTAAAGTGAAAAGGGTTCAATTAGTACAAATTATACAATTAATGTTTTGACTAAAGGATTAGAGTAGGTACCGTAAAAAGTTGAATTTAAAATTGGAATCTGCAATAACTACGAATTTTTGAACTAACATTTTTTGATTTGCGAGCTCAAAATTGTTTGCATCACTCTCTTTGGATTCTGATTCTTGAAATGCTTCGACCTGTACGTTAGTAAGATTACCTGGGTGATGTATGTGTTTAATAACAAGTCTGTTCTGCCATTCAACCAATCGTTTTAACTGTGTCTGGTCTCGTTAATCACTAGGGGTATTAAGCTTCATTTACAATTACCAACTCTAGGTTTATTTATTTTCTCTTTTATGTTTGTTTCTTGTTTAGTTTCTATCCTGTCATCCTTGGACGAATTAATTAGTCCAGGTTGTCATCCATTTTGCAATGGAGGGAAGTCGAACCTCAACTTCGAACTCCTCCTATGTTCTTCTGATCAATTTCGTTGCGGGTCCAATGACAGTTTAACTTTCCCCCGGGACAAACTTGACCTTCACTGGTTGTGTTTTTATTGGCGGTCAAGATGTAGATCCTGGCTACAAAAAAATACCAATATTAACAGTAATATTTTGTTCCAGGTATCATGGATACGGCATAGAGACATACACCTGCTTACTTCAGGGAGGATGACTTACACCTCCGACCAGAGGTTCATCAGCGTCCACAACCCTCACACGGAGGACTGGATTCTAAAAGTAAGGAAAATAAGTACCTTTTTCAAACCAAAATATGTAACGTCACAAAAATGCCTCTTGTTTGCTATTTAAAAAAGTTTAGTCAGCCTTACTGCGAGTAATTATTTTGAAATTATGTAAAAAATAATTTGAGACAATTCATTTCTTTAAAACAACTTGGGATTTAAAAGAGTTACCTTTTGTGTAGACTTGTCTTTAGAATCTCTCCCTTTTATGAAAATATGATTAATAGTCAGCGAATCTTGCCAGCAAACATACCTACCTAGTTTCTACGAGTAGAAATATCAGAATTTCATTCCATCAAGATGCAAGGCTATAAAAAGTCCTTGAATTTTATTGCTCCTCTTTATAATAAATTATACTAGCAGTTTTTACATTCCCCATAAAAATGTCCCCAAACTTATTCAATTCCTGAACTTCCATTTTCAAAACCGCATCGGATTCAATCCAAATAATGCATGGTCAAGGAATTCTATCGCATAAATCTTCCACAGATCCGGTTCCCGCAGCGACGGGACTCCGGTATCTACGAGTGCCAGGTCGGGACCACGCCACCTATCGGCCACAAGATGCACCTGTCAGTCGTCGGTAATACACTTTTTATTTTTTTAAAGAGCCACAGCACATACATTATTATACTAGTTAGCATCGTTAATTTAGCCGCTTTTTAGAAGCTGAATGTCGCTGTATGCTACACAGCACACTTATAGCCAAACGCGATTGAGTCGCTTTTGGGAAGCTCGACAGCAGGTTCTAAAACCTGCGATTACAATACCGCGTCCAAATTCACGGCCTGCATTCAGCGCCTTACTGACATACACAGATTATGTGCTAAACAGTGCTCTTAGTAAACATTTCTTGTAACAAAATGTAAACATTTCTCACATCAATGTGCTATCGTCTGCTGTGTATGTAATTTATTGAAGCCAATTTTTGATTCTACATTTAAATAGCTCAATGGTGTCGGTGTAATTTAAGATCCAAGAAACGGTAGGTATCAAAGATAAAGCTTACCACGAGAGGATAACAAGTCTTTTACTCTTAAAAAAGTTAGATGCGAAGAAAAGAATTTAAACGAATTTAAATCTAGTTCGTCAAGTTTTAAAGTTTAGGTAATTGTTTCATGAAAGCGACTGACTTGCTTTTGTGATAACAAGTGTTTTCAGAAATTGACTGAGTTTATTTATTAATTAAGCCTTGATTACATCAAGTTGAAAGTGCTTTTTCCGTAAAACCATGAAATTGTACCTTTACATATAAAATTTGAAAATGTTTGACATACTGGGAAATGGTTTTGATCTGATTATATTCTGTAAATACTTATTCCGTGAAAATCCTATGCTTGTTGAATAATTTCAATGTTTAAATTCAAATATTTATGCACAGAAACCATTAAATTAAAAAATGTTTTAACGAATGAAAAATAATTGGGGCATTTTCAACTACGAGTATTTCAATTTTTAATTTCATTTACGAATACTTTTAACGATTCAATCAGAAGTTTTCTTTTGTTTTTCTTAATGACTTTAAGCCTCTAAAATAAAGAATTTTGACGAGTATTGCAGTTGACTGTTACTTACAAGTCTGAAGTTTAAATAAACAAACTTGTTAGCAAACCGTCATTCAATTTATTTAGGCTGGGTTGCACCATCTTAATTTAACTTTGTCAAACGTCAAAAATCTGTCAAACTCCATACAAAAAACACTGGTTATCGTCAAAGTTACGGTCAAAGTTAGGTGGAGCAACTCAGCGTTAGTAATCATAAACTTAGAAGTGTATTTACGGTTCAATTTGCAGAAAGCAATATAAGTTTTCAGTGTGTTATGAACATAACAGATCAAGGATACCTAGTTGAAAACAGTACATATAATATGTAGGTGCTATAAAATTGGACCACTTTCGACTGAATGCGACGAGCAATGCAATTTCGTTTTATAGTGATTGATTTTTCATTTCAATGTTGAGAAGGATTATTGATTCACTTGAAAATTGTATGAATATGAAAGATGACAATAACTGAATAGTAGGTATCAAATTTTATTCATACCAAAACGTGGTGAAATTTTAACCCGTAACGGCAACAAGCATTATTATATTATGTTGTACTCGTAATATTTTATAGACGAGGACTGCTTACTTACTAGGCATAAATTTTGTAGGTACTTAATTAGTAATTTGTAGTAATATAAAAACTAAATATATTCTCGTGCTATGAGTGAGCCCACAAGTTGATCGACTGATCCTCAAATTGGCAGTTTGCACTGCAGTCTAACACCGACATTGTTATGTTACTGTGGCCTGTGTAATTATATCAAGTTCTTGACTTAATAAGAACTAGTTTCCATACGCAGATAATTCAGGGTCCAATGACAGTTTAACTTTCCCCCGGGACAAACTTGACCTTCACTGGTTGGGTTTTTATTGGCAGTCAAGCTGTAGATCCTAGCTACACAGGAGTTGCAGCGGTGGGAACGAGAGGTGGGAATAGTCCCGTATTTAATACCCAGATTATCTTTTTATCTAACTATATCCATTTTGTGTTCAAGCAGAACCCCTGACGACGATCCTGGGCGGTCCAGAGCTGTTCATCAACACGGGGAGCACCATCAACCTCACGTGTGTGGTGCAACACTCCCCAGAGCCGCCCCCGACTATACGGTGGACTCATAATGATGAGGTGAGTGTCTTAACGTGGCCTCTCACTATAGGCCTTACAGAAGCTCAAAGTTGCACAGCGTGCTATGGAGAGGGCTATTGCTTGGTGTTTCTTTGCGAGATCGAATCAGAAATGAGGAAATCCGTAAACGAACTAAAATCGCTGACATAGCCCGACGGGTTAGCAAGCTGAAGTGGCAATGGGCAGGGCATATAGTACGCAGAACTGACGGCCGATGGGGCAGCAAGGTTCTGGAATGTAGGCCGCGTACCGGAAAACGCAGCGTGGGACGACCGACGACTGGGATGAAGCGCTGGATGCAGGCCGCTACCAATCGATCAACGTTTTGAAGCCACGATAGCCGAACGGTGAAGGGGTCGGACTGGCCGACTCGTAATCCGGGGAACGCGGGTTCGGTCCCCGCCGCCGCTCGACTATTGTGGTGAGCTCAAATGATGACATCTCGAATCGATGGTTCAGCAACCCAAAGTGAGTCTAGGACTCACTTTGGGTTGCTGAACCATCGGAGTACGTAAGTAAGGAAGTGTGATGATAATGATCTGAGCTATATGATACTAGCAATGTAGAATAGAATAGATGTCTTGAAAAGGTGAGATAAGGGGCATGTGTAAAAACATAAGGCCACCGTGAAGAGTCCAACCATGTTTTCCTTTTGTCTCTAGTAAATAAGAGATTAGTTCTCCTGCAAAAGGCACTAAATGGCCTAATGACGATGATAAGTTTTACTAAGCAATAAAACTCATGCAGAGTAGAATAGGATGCCAATCTTCCCTTAGATCTTGTAAAAAGAAACCGTGACATAGCTATGTAGGAACAGGCCTCTTACTAAAGCTAAGTCTACGACCAAATACTCTTTTGCGCCTGGTAAATTAGAGAAGTTCGTGCTGCATAGTGGAAACTAAATGACCATATTCCGGTTGACAACTTACTATGCTATACTATACATTGATAACGATGAGATAAAGCTGAAAAAAACTACAAAGGAATTCCCGCATCTTTATGTATTCGCGGAACTCTCTAGAGTAGAATCTCTACGCACACATGTAACATCGGTTGTGTGCTTCCCAAAATCACGCGCAATTAATGAAAAACTTTATCTCTTTATACACGAACGTGTCCAAATTCCACGAACAATACCAAACAATTCGAAGCGAAACCATACGACAAATGAGATCGCAATCTCTTAGCATTCAACCTCGGTTTTCTGCGCTTTGCAAATTGCCTGCTCTCTTGTGATATACGCGATGTAGCGGGAGCGAGAGCGAGCGCGGAAGCGAGAGCGATAGCAAGCGCGGAAGCGGGAACGATAGCAAGCGCGGAAGCGGGAGCGGGAAATTATAATAAAATCGCAGTAAAATTGGTTATTGTTTATGGCATCTGAAGTTCAGATGCCAGAAGATCTCATGCATCATCTCAGACTTATACCTACACTTTGTTACTCTCTCAATATTATTTTCTTTCCTCTTAGTAATAGAGGGTGTTTGAAACCTGTGCGCTTTTGTTGAAACATTCCCTTAGAGGCTTAGACAGTAGTTGCAACCGAAAATCTCTCCATACACATCATACATCATCATTATCATCGTCGTCAGGTTATTTATTTATTGAAAAAGATACACCAACGACATATAACTTTACATATAACAATAATACAGTGTTGAGTAGGTACTGCAGGAGTCCTCTCTAATTGTCCACAGGCAAAAGTAAACTAACATAAACGCTTATATCTCACCCGCTTCATCGTCCGCTCCCGTGCCTCTCACACCGCAACTTTGGCGAGTCGATTCCAAAGTTTTATTTACAAGGGGGTGTACCAGTCGATTTGAAACGTTGCCAGAATGAGCTGTGAGCGCCGACCCCGGATTGGCTTGGCAGGGAATAAAATTGCGTTCCCATTGTTATCTTATGCCCCAGTTTTAGCTGCCACGATTGGATTGTCAAATCAAGTGCCATTGACAGACGTGGACAGCCGGAATGGAGCATCGGCGGGATGTCCAGGTCATTTGCACCCCAATTGACTATTTCGTTTGTTGTTGCTGCCTTTTTTGTGTTGGGGAGAGCAATTATTGTTTCAGCTAAATAATATAATTTACAAGTCCTTCCATCCAGGCAATTATATTTACCTATCCAAAATTATATTGCCCTGAACATAATACAGGACTAGACTTCGTACGCGTGGACCGAGTTTTACCCCCTTATGGGTTAAATTTTACAAAATCCCGCCTTACTAAGCACCTACGTTCTAAAAGGAACCCCCATGCAAAATTTGAGACTCCTAGCACTTGTAGTTTCTATGATTTCGTGATGAGTGAGTCAGTCAATCAGTGACCTTTCGCTTTTATAGATATAGAAGATTTGCTGTTTGCTTGCTGCCTGATCAAAAACGGCTTTATCTTTTCCACAACAAATTGATTCCTCTCATACCTGCCACATTATACAGCCTTGGGCTATCTAACTATTGGGTAACATAACTTTACGACTTCAACCAGAAGCTCCAATTTAATCTCCGTCCCTTAAACCGAAAAATACATTGTTTTGACAGTAAACAAACATCCCAACTTTGCCACTCAATAACAAACTACAATATAAAACACTTCCCGTATACCCCAGAGAAACGAATACGGCCACATTTTCAAACAACGTTTCCAATTTCGAATAAGTCTCACATATTGAATAGGCGCTTGTTTCGCGCTGCACTTCTATTTCTTTCGAACAAATTCTCGGTGAGGCTTCGAAAGTTTCGTACATGGGTACTTTCCTATACTAGGTAGGTATTCTACTTTTAGTAATCTGGTCGCTGCTAACGATCGTGCCATTGTCTGGAGAGAGCAGCCACTTCATCTGAAAAATTGGTTTTATTGTCTTAATAGACAACAATACCAATTTTGAGATAAAGTGGCTGCAAATAAGATAAACAATCACATAATATGATGTAATTGCATTACCATAGCTAATTTATTGACATATCTTATTAATTGACATCCGTGAAGTTTGTAATCTTTAAGCTTGAAAAACATATTTACAACTCTCATAAGATTTGAAGTTGACTGCTGATCTGATCATACTATAGGTATACCTTGAGATCATAACAATGTGATGAGACTGATCTATTTGTATTGTGGTTACGTGTAATTAGCGCCGTCCAATGCCAATTAGAGTGTAATGCGGACGCCGATGGCTGTACAAAGGCTGCACGTCAAGCTTTACACTGGCCATCTTATGCAGTTGCAATAGAGTCGATTTTGCAACGAAAATGTAAAGTCAGATGTGCAAGCTGTACAAAGGCTGCTATGGCCTCCGTTCGTGGGTTTTAAAATAGCTAATTACAGTTTTGAAATAACTTTTGTAATGCTACTTTGTGATTTGGCATTATGTGAAATTTTAACACTGAAAATGACAGAACTTTTGTTGCTTTACTTTGAACTTTATTTTCCAATGAATAAGGTAGAATATAGCAATGAAAAGTTCAGTTAACTGGCATAGTAGTTTCTTTTAGTAGGTACTTACACATGTAGTGATGAAGACATACTCGTATATGTATATATGTATACCTTAGTTACCAAAATTCATCGGACACCTTTACCCTAAAACCAAGACACGACTTATTTAAGACTAGCTTTCCGCCCGCGGCTTCGTCCACGTGGAATTTTGTCTGTCACAGAAAAACTTTATAACTAAAACGTCCCTGTTTCAAATCCGGGAGAAAAACTATCCTATATCCTTTCTCGGGACTCAAACAATCTCTGTGCCAAATTTCATCAAAATCTGTTCAGTGATTTAGGCTCGAAAGCAAGACAGACAGACAGAGTTACTTTTCGCAATTATAATATTAGTTTAGATTATTACACAAATTGCAAGCCCTAAAATCTCTATCATCTCAATCATTTTTCTTTTCAGTGGCTTCAAAATCAATTCATTATTGATCATAGCATGTCCTCGACATACAAAATCTACAAGAGAATCACGTTTTACATCTCAAATAAAATTGTTTCAATTGACGAGTCGGTTTAACCTGGAGATAATTTTAGCAGAAATGTCAAATGAACGTTTTACAAAAGACAATGCCGGAAATTGGCGTCTTTTTTTTTTTTCGCGCGGCCATCGACCAAACTTTGTTTTTTGATTACCAAAATAGTGTCATAAACCAAACTTACTATGACATGTATACCTCTAAACTCAGTCTAAACTGAGTTACGAGCATTAGAAGTTTGATGATTTTCATACTAGATTTCCTTTTTGCGCGCTAAGTTTTGTAAGAAATTGCAACAAAATAGTGAGATTGTATGACGTGTAAACAAACAATATCATCCATTAAAGGCTCCAGACATAAGTATGGAGCAGAATCAGCGCAATAAAAAAATAGCGCAATATTTTGTTGCAATTGCTTACAAAACTTGCGCACAAAAAGCAAATCTAGTATGAAAATAATCAAACTTCTAATGCTCGTAACTCAGTTCAGACTGAGTTTAGAGGTATACATGCCATAGTAAGTTTGGTTTATTAAAAAAAAAGACGCCACTTCCCATACAAAATCTGGCATTGCCATTTAGCAAATTGTCTCTGAGAAAATTTCTAACACACGTGCGCGTTCATTTCTTGGAATCAGAATAACATAATATAATAGCGTATAAACTGTGTCATTTGTTCTGATATCTCGAATTTAACTTGTTATTGTAATTTGCTCTATTGTCATTTCAACTTAATATTGGATTCTATAGAAATTATATGCCTTTGAATGAGTTTATTCGGTTCGTGGAAAAATACATATTTGATAGGTATGTTGAATAATGTAATGTAATACGTAAGTAGTTTTCAGGGCCTGTGTGAGTTGATATTTAGAAAAAAATGTCTCTAAACTGTCAGTTTCGGAATAGTTGGACCAATTTTGATAGGCTTTATTTCAGAAAAAAAAAGAATTTCATTGTTGAAATCCGTGACAGAGCGAGGTCCACTCATGAAAAAAATGACTTTATTTAATGGGCATACTAGCTTTTGCCCGCGACTTCTCTTCATTATGTCACAGAGTCATTATGTTATTATGAAACTTAAACAATAAACCCAAAAATACTTTTTACGTCCATCCATCTATCCTTACAAACTTTAAATACAAATTACTGACCAAATATTTCTTTCTCAGGAAATCAACTACGACTCGCCCCGCGGGGGAGTTTCAGTCATCACGGAGAAGGGGGAGACGACCACGTCCCATCTACTGGTGCAGAAGGCCAAGTCACCAGACTCTGGGCGGTACACCTGCGCTCCAGCCAACGCGAACCCTCGCTCGGTGCAGGTCCACGTTTTGAGTGGTAAGTTTTGACAATAGAAGGGTTAGACAATGACAATCTCACCTGCTGGTGAATAAAGCCCAGTATCCAGATTCTGAATGGTATAACGCGAACCCTCGCTCGGTGCAGGTTCACGTTTTGGTGGTGGTGAGTCTTTGCATTACCTATCTCAGTAAATAGAAGGGGGGACATGATCAGCAAAATCTCACCTGCTGGTACAGAAAGCTGGATCTACGGACTCTGGACAGTATAATGCGTACCCTCGCTCGGTGCAAGTCCACGTTTTGAGTGGTGAGTCTCAACAAGAGAAGAGAACATGATCACAGCAGTATGCAACAATTGGAGATACCTTCCAGCGGAACCTACCGTCTACAGTCCACCACTCATCGTTCACCGCGTCTGTCTACAGCACACTCAGCTTATCCACTCAAACTGCCAGTAGTCTTCGTGACTGATAGTTGTTTTTCACACTACCTGCTGATGCAGAAAGCCAAGTCTACAGGCTCTGGACGGTATAATGCAAACCGTTGCTCGGTGCATGTCCACGTTTCAACTAACATACCCTATCTTTGAGGTATCAATAACCCAACGGTGTCAGGAGTCTGGATTATTGTGACGAATAAACTCCAAACACAAGCATAATTTTAGCTGTCTGGAGAGGGTCAAGAAATTGGTTGACAGTCAAATATTAACCCATAGCAGTTGAATAGTCTATCGCCAGCAATCAACCAATAATATTTCCAATAGAATCTATATATGCTATTGACAACCGACACAGCATTTAACCAAGTGGGACTATGCAGTAGCGGAGTGGTAACGGAAGAAGTGACATGTGAAGTAACATACTAGTCGTTCTAAAGTAGGTACCGCTTTATACCGTGTATTCATCAGACTATTGATATAGCGCAACAGTTTCGGTATAGTGTTTGAACTTCGTGAATCTATGTTGAAAGCTAGCTATTACCTCGCTCAACTGCAATCAGTAAAAAAGCTTGACACTAAAATCCACCCAATCCTACATTTTAATATTTTAAATCCTAATTTGTCAACGTAATGATAGGCACGAAAAGTAAATTTTAGTCGCATTAATAAAACGTCAAATCGGCCTAAAAATATGAAGCGAAAAATCCCATCAAGCAAATAGCTGAAAGCGCTGACGAGAGTATAAATTATTGTCCAAAAGTCACGTACAGCGAAGATCGATGGGGCAATATAATGGACCCGAGTTAAGTTCCAGCTAGAATAATATAGCTGGAACTGTTAATTATTCGATGGTTAACAGCAGGCACGTTAACTGAATCTTCGAACTCAGTTCCAAGGTCGGATTTTCTGAGCCCTTAGGCTGGGACAGGGCCGGAGTTACGCTGATGTTGTAATAATAAGATGTTAATTTGAACTAAGGAAGAGACTATTTAATTTTGTCGAGCTAATATGGGCAAAATTTATTGGCAGTTTGGTTTCACAACTTTTTATTGAGACTATATGCCATGGCGTTAAGTTAACCACAAGATTAAATTTACCTGGTTTTAAATAATAAGTTTATAGCGAGGTAACGTGAAGTACGAGTTAGAATCTTGTCACGAGTAAATGAGCAAAAGCCTAGGAAGAAAAAAAGTTAGTAAATGCTGCTGCTCATTTGCCTTCTGTCCCATAAAAATTGATATTTCGTAAGTCTAGGCTTAAATTATGTGTAAACTTAGCGTCATTATTAACATTTTTATGCCACGATAAGTCATATCCCGAGATTAATCTCTGCATCTAAATATGTATGTGGTATCATGAATAAAACAAGAGAGATAAAGCCTAAAGGCTGCGACACTCAAAACTGGCAATTTATGGGCCGCTACAACGCATGGCCCCTTGCCAACCTTAGTTCGTCCCTGTTCTAGCTCTAGGCTGAATCGAAGTTGGCTAAGTCCATAAGTCTAGGTTATTACTGAAACGTTGTCGACAAAGTAAATGGGCGCTCCATAATCCTCCATAGAAATATCCGAGATTTAGAGATAGGCAACTAAATGAACGAAATTCGGTGGAAGGAAAAGAGCAAACTCAAGTGGTTCTCAATTTGAGTGGATGAGTCAATGTGATTTGTATTTTCAAAGTGATTTGGAAATAGAGTGTTGTTTTGCTCTAATTGTTTTATAGGTAATTGGCTTAATATTTCAAGTTCTTTAGATCTAAACGTGCCACGTTTAGTGGATTTTAAATTATTAAAAAGTTTTATAATTATTTAAGACTGACCTGAGAGTAATAATTAAGTCTAGCTAAGAGAGATGCCACACGGTGCGGTGCGGCGCCGGAACGCACCGTCTGGCATATCATTTATTTTTGCATGCAGGACGCCGCAGCGACACCGCTCCGGCGCCGCGCCGCGACCGCACCGCACCGTGTGGCTTTTAAATCATGCCTGAAAATGATAATATAATAACAACTCTACTATTAATAGAAGAGCAAGGTGCCCCATAAATGCCTATTCACTCTCACCGTGAAGAGGCCCGAATTAAAGTGTTCGAGAAAGATATCAAGGCAGCGAATTCCAGTCCTTAACTCTTCTCATTAAAAGCGCTTTCACATTAGGGCGTTAGTAGCGCGACTACAGCGCGGCAGCCGCGTTTTTATAATGTGAAGGCATGCATCCGCTGTTACATAGTATGAAATTTTCGTTTCGCGCGTTTGTCCCGTTGCTAAATCGCCTAAGAGTAGGCGCACACCGTTGATTTTTCGTCGGCCGATAGTTTAGTCGGGCAGTTGATCAGTATGGGCACGGTAATACTATCATACAGTATTGTAACTTCATACAAACGGACGAAACTCGAGCTTTCCTTCGAAATTCAAATCTCGGTATGCGCTCGACATGCAAAAGTCGGGGGTGTCGCGAATGTGCCACAGTAATAAACGGACGATGTGTTTTTTCAACATAGTGTTTTTTTTATAAAAATAATTACAAGTACCTATTTATACAGGGTGTTAGGTAAATGGATTTATAAGTCAACACTAGCCCATGTTAATATTTATGCATGAAAATAGTATGGTGAAGTCAGTGAATATCATTTTATTTTTATTATCATTCAAAATAAATATCATGATAACAATTTTCAGACTTCACCATTGTAAGCATTTTTACTGTGAAACAGATTTTAATTGGAAATTAAAATGTATATTGTTGTTTTAATAATTAAATGCGGGTAAGCGAAATAATAAGAAAAAAAAATTACAATCACAAAATACATTTACAAAACTAGATAGAAATTCAAGAAGGCAGATGTAATGAAAACAGGGTGCGCAGGTGGGCAGCCCTATCGCATGTTGTCAAACGGTGACGTACCGCGCGGCTGTTGACATTTATTTCAAAAATATGACCGAGTTGGAATACTGTATAGATAGTATTACCGTGGATGGGCATGTATGGGAGTGCGCACACTACGCCGATTCGATTTGGCCGATTCTTCATACAATTTCAAATCGGGCACAACTATCGGCCAACTAAAAATCAACGGTGTGCGCCTACTCTAAATGTGAAAGAGCTATATGTAAGAAAAACAATTGAAACTAATACCTATCTCCTTCTCGCAGGTGAGCATCCAGCAGCGATGCAGCATGGCGGCCAGCTCCGTCTCCAATATCCTCTCTCAGCCGCTCTACTGAGCGTCATCGTAGCCCTAATGGGGTGCTAGTATATCAGAACGTGATCTATATTTTATATTACCCTAGACACTAGTAGCTTGTGAACTTATAATAGAGTAAGACGGCAAACATTGATCCATTGGGGTCTAATCAGGCAAGCTGTAAACAAAAAGGAGACGTATTTTTAAAGCATTAAAATTCCAACCCAACAAAACGCCGCGTAGGTCGTCCACAAGGACAGGTGACCTCATAAAGGTAGCAGGCAGGCGCTGGATGCAGGCCGCTACCAACCGGCTGATCTGGCAATCATTGGGGGAGGCCTATGTTCAGCAATGGACGTCCTATGGCTGCACACATTAAACATAGGCCGTTCAGCAATGAATTTCCTGTGGCTGAATCCAGTCCAGAACGAATACAACTGCACTTATCGTATAAACTTTCGTATTTGTGTGATTTTGTTTGCGAATTTGCATTCTAATTCCTTGTAAATACGTCTGAAGCTAGAATAAACATGCAAACAGCGTGCCGACACACGAATCGAGAATCTATGTTTACGATAGCTTTCCGCAGTAAGTAAACGTAACAAAAAGTCAACAGGTCTTATTTTTAGTTTGGGAAAATGTATAGGAAACTACATAAAAATTAACACCCGTGTTCACAAACATTCTATGAGGTCTCACAGTGCGCGTGGACGCACAGGGTGACACACGAATCAATCACAGAGCTCTATTCAACGCTGTGCGTTCGATTTTCTGCTTCACTTATTATTTTGTGAATACGGGCGTAAATATCAAATAGGCACCTGGCACACGTCACACAATGATTTTGATTTAGAAAAATAACACGTTTTCATTGAGATTTGGTGTCGAAATTGTTATAAAATTTCCTTTCTAATAATGGAGGAAAATCAGCACAATTATATTTATAAATACTTCGATATCGATTTGCCAACAGAGAATGTTTCGAATATTCGGTTTCTTTCAATCGAAAGGATCAATAATAATATTTTCTGTTGTATTGATAACATTGTAAATAAAAGTTACTATCAATAGGGTCATAAAAAAGTTAATAATCTAAAGTATAGACTGTCGATTTTTATGAAACTTTGATCTGCAACGTCTGTGATCTAATTAGATTATAGATCGTTTCATCCACGAAGACGCGCCCCACCATTCTTCCACTAATATATTCGAGTGTTATCGGTACACGCTAAATTATCCATGAGTGCACACGCACACTACAATAATGACGCTCGGATTGCTCGGATCAAACTCTCCGCACCCCGCGCTTCCCTCGACCAAAAATTGGTGGGGCACGTCTTCGTGGATGAAACGATATGTAGTAAATATTTTCCAATTCAATGTAACTTACGTTAATTCGCACCTGAGGCAATAGATATTTTCTTCAAGTTTTAAAAAAATTACTTTATAGTGACTGAACACGGACGCTGAAAAATGTAGAGCCATTTATAAAAAACTCACACATACAACCACTTTCGTTTTCATAATGTTAGTGTGGGAATATGTCCCCAATAATATGTGGGACTATGTAATATCACAGTTCGAGGGTTCCATCGAGAGCTTACTGTAACCCAAATCCCATAAATAATTTATTAGATACTGAAGGAAGTGATTTTCCACCGAAAGAATCGAAACGGGACAAGCTTGTGATATTTTTTCGGGTGTGCGAATAAAGGGTCATGATTTCTTGATTGGTTGTTATAGATGTATAGATTAACATTTGTAATTTTCAGACAAATCAGCATTTTTAATTATTGTTTCAGTATATCTGAAACCACGGTACCTAGACAATTTTAGATTTCAGCATCTTCATCTACAAAGGCGACATTAGTATGTTTCATATTTAAATAGAAAGACACGGGTCTTAACGCCACATTTATTAATGAGTTACATTATGTACTCACGGCTTGACGTTTCGGCTGCGATGCTGCAGCCGTGGTCACAAGCAGACTGGCGGCTCGCGGCGTCGTCCGTTCGGGCGGGCTTGAAAATGTATGTCGCGTTAAGACCCGTGTCTTTGCATTTAGGTAGGTATGTCGAAATGGAACGCAAGAGTTTAAAATCTTATGTTTCATATTTGGTTAAATAGTACCATGATAAATCACAGGTAACAGTGTTCCTTTAAAATCGACAGTCTAATAGAGAGGCTACAAGTTTGAGAGGACAAAACTTTGAATTTCCTTCGAGAGAAGAGCTTTCAGACTTCTGTTATTTTAAATGGTAGTTGATCATTGCTAGACAAATTTTTATAAGTTGCTGTAAGAAGACGGCTTTTATCCACAAAAGTACTGTGTATGTTTGGACAGATAAGGCTGGTTTGAGAATCGCGCTGATCGCTCGCTGATCGTCGGCGCTGACAAATCAAAATGTACGAGTATGTAATTGAAGGGAACGTTTCTGAGTGACGCTGATCGCTCGGCGCCGACGCTCCATACATTTCGGCTATTAGCGTTGACGGTCAGCGTGCGTCAGCGTGATTCTAAAACCAGCCTAAGACGTATCATGAGATATTGGTCTTTTAGTAAATGGCGGGTTTATAATGAAAAAAAAACCATGATGCTGCGATTTTCCCACAAAAAGGTAGAGTCGGAAGTGCTGTCAAACGTACAGTCAGCGTCAAATAGTTCGTGACACCCAAAGTGGCCAAAATGTTGACAACACAACCTTATTCCAAGTAACAAAGACGTGTGTATACTTTTTGGCTACTTTGGGTGTCACAAACTATTTAATGCTCACTGTACATGTAAATTAACTTACTTTTGTTTAAAATTTCAGTACCTAAGGCCCTGATCACACGTACCGAGTAAACGGGCGAGACAGTAAAATGTTTACTCGGTCGAGACAGTTAGGCCTCAGCCTCGAACTTAGCGGGCAGCGGGGCGGCGGCGGCGGCGGCGCGGGAGCGGCAGGATCTTATGCGTAAAATCAAATGGACCAGTTCTCGAAAACAGCGGCGCGGCAGCGGGGCGGCAGCGGGGCGGCAGCGGGCAACGAGCGGGCAGCGGCGAGGGAGCGGGCATCGAGCGGGGAGCGCACTCCTTCTTTTGCCCACAATAAATCGAGCGTTAGGAATAAATTTGAATCGAAATAAAATTGTCGCCGTTGTTCAGACATTTCGTTTGCGAACAAAAACAAATATCTCGACAACACAACCCCGAACACAACACTTCGCCACTAAAGCGCCGCGCGAGCTGCCCGCTGGTTTTGAGAACGGGTCTGCGTTACCCGCCCCGCTCCCGCGCCGCCGCCGCCGCCGCCCCGCTGCCCGCTAAGTTCGAGGCTGAGGCCTTAGGTGAGCGAGTCACAGACTCGAGCGCTCGGCCGATCACTCGGCGCTATGTTCATACGCATCGAGTACTCGCCCGAGAGCACTGTCTCGCCCGATTCGTACCGAATCAAGTGTGATCAAGGCTTTACAGTTTAACAAATAATTTTGAAACGCATTTCGGTTTAACTTAAACTTAACTTTGTCCCTAAAATTCAATGTAACAATGTAAATAATAAGTTACAACATCTATTGTTTCGTATAATAATTAAAATTTAAACCTAGATTAAGCTAGTTATACCACTTGAAACATAAAGTTATTACTTACAAAGTTTAATGTAATAGATTTAAATGTAATTATAGAACTAATTAAGGAATAGAAATAAGATGTATTATTGTAAACAAATAAAATTAATTGTTTCGAATAATTTTTAAAATAATTGGATACGGTTGTGTAAATAGGTAAAATGTATCTAAGGAAATAAATAAACTTATTGATCGTCAAAAGGTTCATTTTATTACAATTTTATTTACTTTTATGTACATAAGATGACATTGAGTGGGCGCCTGCCCATACTATGTCTTCCGGCCCGTGGTCACCACTCGAGAATATTTCTGACCCAGCGGGCATCAGCTCTACGAGCTATGTGCCCCACCTCGCATTTGATTTTAGCACTAGATGGACCGACGATTTTGTGAAGGTCGCAGGAAGTACCTGGATGCGGGCAGTGCAGGACCGGTCGTTATGGAAATCCTTGGGGAGGCCTTTGTCCAGCAGTGGACGTCATAATATGACGTCCACTGCTGGACAAAGGCCTCCCCAAGGATTTCCATAATGGCTGAAACGAACGAACTTACCTGTAAGTTGATATTCTGTCAACTACAGCATTTTTACGCAAACATATAATAAATAAATAAATAAATAAATATCCTTGGACATTTTACACTGCGCTTCTAGTCCCAAACTAAGCAAAGCTTGTACTATGGGTACTAGACAACGGATATAAACATACTTAAATACTTTTTTTTTTGTAAATACATACATATTATACATAGAAAACACCCAGTCCAATACAAACAAATTATATGTTCATGCACACAAATGTTTGAACTGTGCGGGAATCGAACCCGCTACCTCCGGAATAGTTGTCCGTTTCGAACCACTACACCAAACGGCCGACTAATTATATTTTTTTAACATACCTACTTCGACTGAAAAAAAGCTTAGTTTAACACTTTGGTGGACAGTACATGTTAAGAATTACTTCCCAAATGACACTACTTATTCACATACAGTGCCTATAGAAGTAGTGTCAATGTAAAACCGGTAAAAACTATGACGTCTATACCTAGACGTTCTGCCGTATCATTCTTTACTACAGAACACTCGTGGAATTTAGCCGGTTTCACACTGCGCCGCGCTCCGCCGTGGAGCGCGGGGCGACAGATTTAATCATTGCATGCAAGTACCTCAGTTTGTATAGAAAACACGCGCGGCACTTCACACTGACAACGCGTCCGCGCGCGTGATCTTTTATATGAAAATCACGCGCTCCGCGGCGGAGCGCGGCGCAGTGTGATAACTGCCTTACTGTCCATCAATGTGTTAATAATTGTAAATTATCTTAAAAGTCTTAGCGATAATATCTATGCACAGAAATTACCACGCCGATTTTCAGTCTCAGTCCGTACATTTCATTATGTATTAGGCAATGTACCGCCCTTTATGCTAAATAGTTTCATTAAAATTACACGGAAAAGCACTCCAAGGCACTTTGGCCCCATTTATAGTCTCGCCGAGACAGGATCAGAATAACCCTTTACAGTTTACTACCGTTAAGTTTAAAGATTTTAAATTACACGCTTTAGAACCTTCATACGAATAAACACTATCCCCCTTACTAATAAAACTTACACGCTCGTTGAACAGTGTTTTAAAGTGACGTTTAGTATGGAAATGTCATTTTAAAACAGTGTTCAACAACTGTGTAACTTTTTATTAGTAAGGGGGTAAGAAAATGACGTAGAATTAATTAAATCTTAGAATCAACTTGTTTTTAAATTTTCCAATATGGTTACACTGTATAAGAAGAAAGTGTTCCATTTTTAAATTTAAAAAGATGTCCATGACAAAATAAAACTGAATACTTGGCTGTACGGCATAATAGTACGAGAGCCCACGACCAAAACCATGTCTCATAGCAATACGGCAAAAACCCTATAAAATCGTTAGATTGTATGATTCTGAACCCGACTAGGTGTGTAGTAACGGTCGAAAGTGTAGCAACTGCGTGGGAGGCCATTTCTGCGACAAAAGACAGTCGGTATTATAGCA